ATTACAACGTATCACTTTGATTAACAGATATTAGTACATGTTTGCAAAGGTGGAATGACATTGACATGTACAACTTTTAAAAGCAATGAATATAATCAAAATTATGGTATCGTATAGCTGGGAGAGAAATTGTTTTTTTTTTTTTTTTTTTTTTTTTTTTTTTTTTTTTTTTTTTTTTTTCTATCAAAATTTCTTGAAAATTTAAAATGTTATGAATTATGGTGCAGTGTGGAAGCTTCTTAACGGTGGATAGCACAACTTGTTACTTTTCTCCATCAATTATCTAGAAGTTATTATTATTATTTTTTTAAAAGGTCAAATGGTTGAATTTATACGTGGAGACAAATTCACAAAGTGCATGGTGTTGCCATATTCAACCTTTTACGCTAATGGAAAATTCAATGTTCAGAAGAGGTCCCAGACCAATTACCAAGTCTTCGTGCACATTAATAATATAATGACGTCGTCGGTTGTATGTATGATTGATACCATGCATGTTTACCCAAAAGCCAATTACGTATATTCTCAATATGAGTGAACATCGGAATTGAAAGATATTTTATTTACAGAAAAGTTTACAATCATTACTGAATATGTATTTTAGGTTAAGTTCATTTTTGTGATTTTAATTAGCAAAATCTAAAAATATAATAAGTGTCAATACAAGTTATGTCCTTGATTTTTGTCCCCTTTTTATATGCTAATAAATATATACATTTTGCTTTAATTGTTGTACATTCATTTGCATTGGACAAAATCACCCTTACACCGTTAGTTTTTAATATATCTACCAATCTTACAATACACCTACATCTATCATATCTTTTTCCAATTTTTAATTATTATTTTATTAAAATTATCATATAACAATTAATTTAATTATAAATTATATTTTAATTAAATATTTATATGAATGTTAAATTATATATGTGTATCATATATATATATATATATATATATATATATATATATATATATATATATATATATATATATATATAATACGTATGTATATTATTTGTGTATCCATATCAATATATCATATATGTGAGTGTTAGCTTAGTATTATTTGTAAATTATTATTATATAAAAAATATAATTTTTTTTTTTTATTTTGATCACTATATTATTCAAATATATGATTATTCAAAAGTATCATCACTTAAGAAATTACAAAACATAATTTTAACTAATTTTTTAAATTTGTTACTTACAAATATTTTAATATTGGGCATAAGTTTTCGCGCATTGCGCGTACAAAATGCTAGTACTAATAAGATAAACTAACATAGATTGTTTATAACTACCAGACTCAAATTAAGAAGACCAAGATTAAATGTATATAAAGTTAAATATTTTTAGACAATTCATTAATTTGTAATATAATAATTAGGTTAAGTTAAGAGTAGTCCATGGATATGACAATTATTAAGTTTATATCAGTGTATGAAACTTTGCTTCTTATTATTATTATTATTATTATTATTATTATTATTATTATTATTATTATTATTATTATTATTATTGTTGTTGTTGTTGTTGTTGTTATTAAATGGTCAAATTTTTTAGGTCAAAGCAATAATATATATATATATATATATATATATATATATATATATATATATATATATATTATCATCTCTTATCGTTGTTTTCCGTTATCCATATTACCAAACACATGCATTATTGAGCATATACTATATATAAAATAAGAAAAAAGATTTTTTTTTTTTTTATCTATTAATGTTCACCTCCCACATTTTCAATTCAATTGTGTAAAAGTGTAGAACATTCTATTAGCTTATATGGCCCCTAGTTGTAGGTGCACATAGGTAATCCTACACGCAAGAGAGAACATTTATGCTATATAATTCAACCTTTTAAAAGGTAGAATTGTATTTATACTATTGCAAACTTAGATCACATTCTTTTTCAATGTAAAACAAACTACTTAAAAGCCTTCACAACTTTATTTTTCTCAATTCAAACAGGTATATAAAATCAAATTATCATCCACCCATTATCTATTTTGAGTGTATAGTATATCAAATTAAACCTCTCACTTAAAAAGAAGCTGAATTTACTTTAACTTGACTCAAATCAAAAGTGGACCCACTCAAAATTTTATCTCAAAATAATCACTTACATGTCATTTTTAGCAAATTAATTTTCAACAAATAATATATCTTTTAGCATATATGCACGCATGGTTGGATTATATTGGATTATGGACACTATGGTGTAAGAATTTATACACTACTATATATTGATTTTTTTGAAAAAATTGCATCTTTGGTCCTTGAGTTATACCCAAGTTCCGACTCAGTCCTTGAGTTATACCCAAGTTCTGACTCAGTTCTTGAGTTATGACCGTATCCACTTTTAGTCCATCAGTTATGAATGAAGTGGCGCATTTGGTCCCTGGTCGTTAAAACTGATGGAAAAATTTAAAAATATTTAAAATTTGAGGGGTAAAATAAGAAATTCACATTTTATTCCCCTTCTTATATCAAACCCACTTTCACAACATTATTTTTCACTTCTTAGTGTCTTATTTCAAGATTGTTCAATTCTAAAAACATTTCAATAACTTTAGTATGACTTGTTAGAAACCTGGCTCTCGTATAACAAACTTAAGACTTAGCACACAAATAAATACTTGATCATTGTCTTCAGACGTGTGAAGCAAACTATCTTATCAATTTTCAATTTTATTTACTAAGCAACAAAGGTAATCAAATCAGAACTTTTGAGATACAAAATGATGTCAAATTTCTCAGGTTGTTTTTATGAGAAATTCACCAACGGAATAACTTGAGATTTTTAGTATGTAATTTTTTTTTTTTTTTTGTATGCAACAGTTAATAATCGTTTTTAGAAGTTACAAAAGTTTTTAGAATTTTCATAACTGATAAGTCTTAGGTTCTTCATTCATTACTCTAGTTTTTAAGAAGACAGAGGAGGCGATGGGTATATATATAATATAATTTTCATATATTGTCAGGATATACGATTCTTGATTAAGTTACTGCAGATCTTACGAAAGAATTTTACGTACTAAAAATCTCAAGTTACTCCCTTAGTGAATTTGTCATAAAAATAACTGAGAAATTTGACATCTTCTTGTATTTCAAAAATTATGGTTTGATTACCATTATGTTCAGTAAGGGAAATAAAAAACTTTTAGGATGGTGTATTTTACATGCTTGAAGACAATGATCAAGTGTTCTCTTGTTTGTACGCAGTCACAGGTTCCTTATATGAGACTTAATTAGGTTACTAACAAGTCATACGAAGATTATTGAATTGCTTTTGAAATTGAAGAACCTTGAAATAGAATGCTTGGAAGTTGAAAATAATGTTGCAGAATTGGTTTCAGTATAAGAAAGTGAATAAAATGTGAATTTCCTACTTTACCCCTAAAATTTTAAATATATTTTAATTTTTCCGTCAGTTTTAACGGTTAGGGACCAAATGCACCACTTCGCTCATAACTGAGGGACTAAAAATGGATACGGTCATAACATAGGGACTGAGTCGTCACTACCATTATAACTCAGGGACCAAACACGCCATTTTCCTATATATATATATATATATATATATATATATATATATATATATATATATATATATATATATATATATATATATATATATATATAATGTGATTTTTCTTAAGATTCTTGCCTAATTAATAAGGAAAATGTTTTCTACCCCTACCGTTATCGCTCCATATTAGTTACTTCCAAATTTAAAAAGAAAAATTATTTATATTTATAGATTACTAGTGAAATAACTGATCCCACCTAAGTTAATGAGGAATCTACTTATCGAAAAAAAAGAAGAAGACATGTAAAGGAGTGTCTAATAATAAGAAGTGACGATTATAAGGTCTCTAGCTTGGTCCAAGTTATAATACTAGTAAATTTGAAGGCCTTTATAATAAATTTTTGTTCCACTTAGTTATGTTTTCTTACAATATGGTAAATCGGTAATTTAATTGGTAGTTTGTGCGTTCAATGGAAGAACACTCACGGTCCATTATATTACTCCACTTGAGAGAATTAAGAAATGGAATTAAGGGCTAGCTGCCTAATCACTTATATATGCATTTAGTAAGAGTATTTTTTTTTTTTTTTAAATTTACAATATCCTAAACAATTAAGAACTAGTAACTTCAAAAAAAAAAAAAGAAAAAAAAGAACTAGTAACTTCATTGAAAAAGATTAAAAAAGACTGATATAATTAATACTTGTGTTTTGTAAGGTTTGAATAATACCTTTCATCACCGGTTCTCTGTTTCTTCTCTCCCAAAACTCCAATATCTGGTTAATTTGCAGCATCAAATCAACTACGTATAATTATTATTTTTAATTAATAAGAATAAGGTTCAAATAAACATCCAACTATATACCAAACTATAGTTGGACTATTGAACTTAAAAATTACAATTACGTTCCTAAACAATGCAAATTAATTTATACAATTTAACCTAAAATAACCTGTTTACATGGTAATAGACTGACGTGACATTTATCAAATTTTAAAGTACTTTTTCAAAATTTTATTTTAAATAATTATTTATAACATAAAAACAAAAAATCAAACCCGCTTCTTTGATCACGCCAGCCTATTATCAGTAAAATGGTGGGGTTCATAGTTGTTCAAAAATTCAATTAGTTTTTTTGAGCTTCTTATTTGTTGCAAACCTTAATATCTCACCACCAGTGAATTCGATCATGTGTCATTCTCTCAAGGAGAGTCAGAGAAGTGTCATCTGAGCACATGTTGCTTGGCTTTTGTCTTAAGATTTATTTTACTTGCTCTATTTTTATTTAATAACATATATCAACTTTTATATGCATGATATATAAAATCTGTGGTTGGGCTACACCAAAGTCATCACTACCCCCACGTATGTATTGAGGAATTTGTCAGCTATCCAGCGTTGAAAACAAAGTTACGTTGACCAGTCAACAGGAACACTATATATATATATATTCCCGGCCGCATATCTCATACATAGTCTCAACTATCTAACTAAGCTAGCTGCCATGGCCACCTCGAAGCTTTTCTCTCTTCTCCTTCTGGTTTCCATGGCTGTCGTCACACTGCAGACAGCCATGGCGGCTGATCCACTCTTCCATTTCTGTTCAAACTCTGGAAACTTCACTCCCAACTCCAACTACCAGAACAACTTAAACCAACTTCTGGGTGACCTCTACTTGAAAACGCCGATCAACGGGTTTGGTTCTGGCTCCGCCGGAAAATACTACGACCAGACGTACGGCCTCTCTCTCTGCCGTGGCGACGTCTCCGCCGCAGACTGCAAGTCTTGCGTAGCCGACGCCGGTAGCACGCTACGTGACCGCTGCCCCTACAACAAAGGCGCTATCATATGGTATGTCTAATAAGCTAGTGCCTAGTGGTAATTTACTAATTTATATCTTTTTTTTTTTTTTTTCTTTTTTTTTTTTAAGGCTAGTGCCTAGTGTGTATTGAGTGGCAAGTGACCCCTAACTTAGAAAGCCAATAAATCGCATGTCATAATCAAATGTTTATCACTATGCCAAAAATTATAGGTAGAATCAAGCCCGGGCAGCTCAATTGGTCATATGGGTGAAGTTTGGTAAGAATGACCAGGGATAAAGTATTGCCACCGGCAGTGTAGAAGCAACCTCTCAAAGTGAGGAGGCTCATTGTGTGCAGTAAGCAAAGTTATCATGATGTAGGGATTTGAACTTTTTGGCAGTTTGTGTGCAGTAAACAAAGTTACCATGATGTTAGGGGGTTTAGTTCCTCCCACCAATTGCTGATCCAGTTACCATCGGGGTGTGAAGAGCCCTTGGGATTTGAACCTTTAGGCAGTAACCGATTGTTGTACTTGACCCTTCAAGCAATTGAAGCATGTGCACCATCCCACCTGAAAGCTTAAGCTGATAGTTGGATTACACATTAACACAAGCTGCACCCAATAATTTTTTAGTCACCAATTACTGAACTTTACCTTTCAGCGATCTCCACTTAACAATATATATATATATATATATATATATATATATATATATATATATATATATATATATATATATATATATATATATATATATATATAAATCATTCATAATTAAAGAAATTTGGCATCTAGGTACGACAATTGTCTTGTGAAGTACTCGGAGGAGGATTTCTTGGGGAAGATAGACAATGGCAACAAGTTCTACATGTGGAACGTTCGAGAGGTGAGCAACCCGGAGGCATTCAACCAGAAAACAAAGGAGCTGTTGAGCGAACTGGCGGAGAAGGCGTACGGGGTGAAGAGTTTGTACGCGACTGGGGAGACGGAGCTGGGTGGGGGATCGTCGACGGAGAAGCTGTACGGGTTGGTTCAGTGCACCAGGGATCTCTCCGGCGAGGATTGCAAGAAATGCCTCGACGGCGCCATTAGAGAGCTCCCAAGCTGCTGTGATTCCAAAGAGGGCGGGAGAGTTGTGGGAGGGAGTTGCAATTTTAGATATGAAATTTATCCTTTTGTCAATGATGCTTGAAATTAAATGCAATCAAGAAAGTAAACATGCTACACAGCCTACGGCTAGCTGCTTTCTTTTTCTTTAGCTTGTACTCTATAGGAAAATAAATAAATAAATAAATAATAAATTAATATTGTAATGTAATGGTTAAAGTTTGTATTAATTCTTTAAAGAGTAAATACCCAAAATGGTCCTTCGACTATAGCTAAATTCACAAATTGGTCCTCAACTTTTAATTTCACCCAATTAAGTCCTTTACTTTGTAATTTTAACACAATTTGGTCCTCTGTCTATTTGACTGTTTGTTGACTGTGATTTTTGAGGATATATATGTAATTTCATGGTCCATCGTCAGTTTTTTAAGGTTCCGGTTGCATTTTCAGACCGCACTGTTACATTTGAATCCACTGTCGAAAACAATCTACCAAACCCGGTCACCTTCTTCATCCTCCCTTTGGATTCAATGTAGTTGAATTCGTACCAGAGCGAAAAAGACGACGTGTTTCCGAACCGGTGCAACGTCATTCTGGAGGCCTCCACGTGCTCCGACGAGAGCTGAAAGTTCTTCTGGAGATCGTCGATCACGGTCAACAAACGGTCAATTAGATGGAGGACCAAATCGTGTCAAAATTGCAAAGTTAAGGACTTAATTGGGTGAAATTGAAAGTTGAGGACCAATTTGTGAATTTAGCTATAGTCGAGGGACCATTTTGGGTATTTGCTCTTCTTTAAAATAAATAAATAAATAAATAAAAAGGGTTTAGTTGTTGTTAATACTTTTGACAATTGAAAATCTATACTATTAATAAAAAAAAAAATTCCGGAGCTGAAAATGTTTCAGAAAGTATAGAACAAATAGTACCTTGTAAGGATCATAAGTATTTAAAAAAAAAAAACAAAATTTCCTATTTTAACTTTCTGCCCAAAACGGTCCTATACTATTAAGATTTGCCTAATCTATATATCTATA